CCGTCCTTGCCAAGTCAGATCCCTATGCTTTTTTCCGAATGGGCTTACCAATTCCGCGAGGGAAGAAGCCGCCCGCTGTAAGTGTTGACCCTCATTTTGAGCTGTTTTCTTTCAAACGAAACGTTTACAGACTAGGAAATGTCAAAATTATTTATTTTATGCCATTTTTTACGTGCACTGTTTCTCTTTATGCGTGACGAAAACTTTGGCACCTGGCGGCTTTCTTGGTTTCCTCTGCTTTGCGTAAGGCGTTTCTTAATTGCTTGGTCCTCGAATCCACTGGGTACTTAAACATATCACAGGAATTTTGCCAGTGAAAATAACAAAGTACTGAATAGACCGAATGCTTACTTGTGCTTGGACACTGGACTCACGGAGCAGACAACGAAGACAGTGCCAAAACGACCGCAGTTCTGATGCTGTTTTTATTTCTGCGTCACTTCTTACCTATCTAGCCAAATGTAACATTTTCGCGTGGTAGGCTGTCAGACTTCGTGTCATTGTGTGTTATAGTTTGCCCCCTAGATGGGCCGCGTTTTAGATGCACTGGGCCAATACGGAGGGAGGCTAGATCAGGGCACGACAGGCGTTATTTAGGTTGCACCTCCATAAAAAAATGCCGAACATGGGGGAGGTGGCGTGGGGGTATGCAGATATGCAGGCTCATGCCGTTTCAACGAACTGCGCCGATCCCGCCTCTGGTATTCTTGACCCTAGATAGGGAAGGAGAAGGCATTACGATCACCCTAATCATAATTTTACTCGTCTGAGCTTTCGGGCTCTTTCTGGAGTCCATCGTCAGAGATAAGAGGCGTGAACGAAAGACAAGCAACAGTTATAGGAGACAGGGGCTGATCAACCGTTATGGAGGGGAGGGGGGGGACGGTCAACCGCCAGTACCATCAGCGCGGAGATGACTGCGCAGGGCGATGTATGCTCGCGCCAGATCGATAAATCGATTGAGTTCAGTTAATTTCCGGCCTGTCTTGTTGCCGGCGGGGCGATTATCCTTGCAGCTGCGAAGTTAAACTCGTGACCGGTCTCGTAGGTTGATTGGCCCCTCGTATAGCTGTTGATTGTCTTTCGTTGACGCCTTTTATCTCTAACGATGGACTCCAGAAAGAGCCCGAAAGTTCAGACGAATAAAATTATGATTCTGCTGATCGAAACGTCCTTGCCTTCTCTATCTACACACATACCTGGAATGCGAACATTTGCCTCAATTCTTGACTCTGTCTTGCCACCGGGCACAGGTGGGTGAGGGAAGAGTGTGGTAAATGCATTGCCAGTCTACTATCTCTTAAAACTAATTCACGCACAAGTCACCGTCCCTGCACCACCATGTTGCAAGGCACACGGTAGACCTCGTCGGGTGCGACGGTCGAACTATCATATGCTGCAGTACGGCCTAGAATTCATGTGACTTTCCGATATATGCGAAAGATTGATAGGTAAGGAACTATCGTGGGTGGGGCATATTGGGGGACAAATCAGTTCGCAATAATCATGTTAATCAAGTTGGGAGTTTTCGCTGATCTTGGGCAAGGTTATTGTGGTACATTTTAATTTCATCACTAACCCTTACTGGACCAACGGCGAGCGCGTGTATGTCGGGGGGTGTTCGCTGACCTTGGGCGAGGTCACCAAGGTAAATTTTTTTAATAGCATCACCAAACCCGACTGGATTAACGGCCAGCGCGCGAAAATATATTGTGGGAAATTCACCCTACTTAAAATTTGTAAGTAAGCGGTTATTGTACAAGTTGGATTTCCAAGCACCCCTCTATAGTTCCCTGCCGATTGATACGCATTCGCTAATTGGCATTGAGTGAGGTTGTAATACTGATTATCGCGTAGTCTATTCAGTCACGATAGGATGCCGGCTTTTCAATTAGCTTCGTTCTGACCGCTTACAGAACCTATGTACGGTAAAACGTGGCTACTTAAATAGAATGCATTTTATCCTTGATTTTGACTGCTTTTATAAATTCAAATATACTTTATGAAAAAATAAACGAAAAAATTATTCCTTGTACTCGTTTAATAGCAACTTACGCCATATTTAAATTTTACACTTCAAGAAACGGTATCTTTCGGTTTTTTTTACGATTGTGAGTTACTCATTCATTATACACCACATCTGTCAATTTATTAATGCCGCCTATAATGGATACAATATGTTCCAAATGTATTGGATATTTTATGAGAACTATGTGATTTCTTTCTCAAACCGTACGTGAAGACGTACTTTTCATTAAACAGGATATGCACATCGTACAGTTTGTAAACCTTGAATTGAGGTGTGGCAGTCAGCAGGTTTAAAAATTATTCGACAATTTAGAAACTTTTTTAAAGCCGAAAGATACCCTTTCTTTAAGTATAACACTTAAAGAAGGCGTAATTTGCTACCAAACAAGTACAAGAAAGAATTTTTCGTTTATGTTTTCCATAAAATATATTAGAATTTATAAAAGCAGTGAACATCAAGGATAAAATGCATACTATTTAAGTAGTCACTTTTTGCAGTACATAGTTTCTGTAAACGGTCATAAGGAAGCTCGTTAAAAAGCCTGCATCCTATCGTGCCTGAAATGACTTCAGAATAGACTACACGATAATCAGTATTACAACCCTACTCAATGCCGATCAGCGGATGCGTATCAATCTTTCGCATATGTCGGCATGTTACACGAATTCTAGGCCGAACTGTATAGTTCTAGATTCCATGGTTATCTTACAAGTGTACAAGCACACACTCATTGCATTAACTTTCTTGCCTTCAGAATGCCATCGAGTACTACACCAACGCTGCCTTTCGTGGTTACCTCGCCGATCCTCAGGAAGTTGCCAGCGCTCGCATCTGGCTTGCCGAGAAGTACGGCTACAAGGCCATCCCCGATCCGTCCGCTGGCCCTCTCAAGGATCTGGCTCTTGTTCGCAAGCAGCCCTGGCAGATCTTCCATGGATTGGAACCCGGCTGGCTGGTGAGCCTGACGGATCGTGTGGTCATCAAGCCCAAGTCACCGGAACACGAGGAGTTCTATAAGGGCTGACATGACTGTACTCCCAATCCCTCACCCTTGTCCTTGAAAGCTAACTAGGTGGTTCCCACTATCATTCGGCCCTAGGTTTTTTTGTTAGGAAAAACAACTATCCTAATGGTTCATGCGTCCTGGTGTCGTTTTGGGCCCACTGACTGTTATGGTGCCTCTTCTGTCTCCGGATGACGCAATTCCCTTTTTTAGAAAAAATAAATTTTTACCCGAACAATTTAACTGCATGTTTAGTCTTTTGTTTTACGTCCTTAACCGTGCCAGTCCTTTCCTTATGTCGTTATTGGGTGAAAATTGCTTCCAACGGTGCTATTGCCCTCAGGCATATCCACCCAGGGCGCCCGGACCACAGCCCTGCTGTAGCTTAAAAACTAGGCTTACCGTTTTTTTCCATTAGACACCGGTTGTGTTAGGGAGATCTTTACATAACTAGCTTGAACTCGATCTGACATGACCAAGTCAAGGCAAGAATGCATGATAATTATCTGACTGTAGGACGATCTTCAGCAGACTATAATTTCGATTTCAACCGCACACGTATCTTGGATAAATTAAGTGAGCAGATTTCAAACCAGCTGTAAGCCTCGTATTCTACCGACCACTCAGCCAATGAGCATATTGATTGCCCACCCTCTGATGAGGTCCTATGCAAACAACTTAACAGTTCGACCGTCGCGAATGCCTATATCCACACTGTACTTCATTACAAAGTAGGCGCAGAGACAGGACTTTGTCCGTAGATTAATTTTAATTGATAGTAGACTTGCCCAGCGTCTGTCGCACTCTCTCTTCTCTCACCTACCCACCCGTGGTACTATAACAGAATCAAGAAGACCGGGGTGGGATTGGGCTAAGAACTGACTGTGGTGGTTGGAGACCATTCCCAATGAAGTAATTAAACTACCCGCGAAGTAGTATATACAAACCCCTGGCCGATGCGCATTTGTGAGATTAAGAAAAAAATGCATATACTAATGATCCCAGGCGTTTACACGCGCCACTTCACTATTCTAATCAAATGCATAGGTCCGCGATTTTTCCGATTCTGAACAAGCTACTCATGCTTCGGTTTCATGGTCTAAAAATGTGAGCCAACCCGTCGTCTCCATAAAAACAGACGTCCGAACATCCAACAGCCGTAAATTTTTGCAGTTATTTATAGACCTGTTATTTTGGAGCTAAATCATCGTTTTTAGAAGAGATGATAATTGAGATGTAGAAGACGACTCGATCA